CTCGAAATTTGGGAGAAAAATGGTCAAAATTTGGAGGAGAAAACCAAAACATTGGAAAAAGCCCCAAAATTCATGAAAATTTGCACCTCAACCGACACCGCCGCACACACAGCGGGAAGGGGGAAATTCCAGATCCGGTCCCGATTCTGGAAAGTTCTGGAAATTTCGGGTTCCCGGCGTTCCCAACATTCCCAGTGCTCCCAGTGCCCAATTGGGGTCAGTCGAGCCCGGGAGGTGGAGTTGGGTTCATTCCAGTGGGGAATTAGTGGGAAAAATTTGGAAAATTGGGAAAAACACCCCAAAAATTGGGGGAAAATACCCCATATATTGAGGGAAAACCCCTTAAAGTTTGGCAGGAAAAACGCCCAAAATTTGGGAGAAAACACTCGAAATTTGGACCAAAAAACGCAAATTTTGGACAAAAACACTCAAAATTTTGAGAGAAAATGCTCAAAATTTGGACGAAAATGGTCAAAATTTGGAGGAAATCACTCAAAATATGGTGGCAAAACTCAAGATTTGGGAGGAACCCAAAATTTGGAAAAAACGCCAAATTTGGGAGAAAACGGTCAAAATTTGGGAGAAAATGGTCAAAATTTGGAGAAAAAACTCAAAATTTGGGAAAAACCCTAAAATTTGGGGGAAAAGATGGAAAAATGGGGAAAAATATGGAAAAATTGGGAAAAACATGGAAAAATGAGGGAAAATATGGAAAAATGGGGAAAAACTGAATTATCCCAAAATTTGAGAGGAAAAAACCCAAAACATTCCCCCAGAATTCCAAATTTTTCCATTTTTGCTCCAAAAAATTCCGGTTTGGGTGGAATTTTCTCGCGGCACCGTTTTTTTTGTGGATTTTCCAGGAATTCTCTTTTTTTTTTTTATTTTGTAAATAAAAATAAATTTGAGTTGAAATTTTTCGTGTCTGGAGTTTTTTGTGGGTTTTTTTTTTCTTCAAAATTATCCCAAAAAAGTTGCAAAAAATGGGAATTATCCCAAAAATACCCCCAAAAAATGGAATTATCCCCAAAAATGAAAATTATCCCAAAAAATTCGGGGAATTTTCACGAACGGAAAAGACGGAAATACCAACGAGAAGGAATTTTATTGATATTCACAATTTTTAGGGTTTTTCGCCCCAAAATTCCCAAATTTCCCGACTTTTCCCGGATTTTCCGGAATTTCACAGAGCCCCTGAAGGATTTTGGGAATTTTTGGGAATTTTTTGGGAATTTTTTTTGGGAAAAATCGTTGGAAAGGGCGGCATCAAACCCTGGCGGGGTTTTCATCACAGCCCCGGAAAAATTGCCAAAAAATTCCCCAAAAAATTCCCAAAATTCCCAAAAAAAATTTCCCAAAATTCAAAAAAATTTCCAGAAAATTCCCAGAATTCCCAAAAATTCCTGAGCCCTTTTTAGTGCAATTTTGGGATTTTTTTCGGAAAATCTGTGGGATTTTTTAATGAATTTGAGGATTTTTGGGATTTTTGAGGATTTTTTTGGATTTCCTGAGGATTTTTAGGGATTTTTTGGGATTTTCTTGGGATTTTTCAGGATTTTCTTGGAATTTTGTGGATTTTTTGGGGATTTCTTGCGATTTTGTAGGGTTTTCAGGAATTTTTTTGGGATTTACTGGGATTTCATGGGATTTTCTGGAATTTTTTTGAATTTTCTTGGAATTTTATGGGATTTCACAGGAATTCTTGGAATTTCATGGACTTTTTTTGGATTTTTGTGGTTTTTTTCAGGATTTTTTAGTTTTTTCTGTATTTCCTCCGTATTTCACCCAATTTCTCCGGGATTTTCGCGATTTTTCGGGAATTTTCAGGAATTTTGGACCAGAATTCCCAAATTTTCCCAAAATTCCCAAATTTTTTCACAGACTGACGCTCCGGTGATGCCTCAAACTCCTCCTGTGCCCCTCCCCCTCCCCCTCCCCCTCCCCGTGCAGACTCAGCGCGTCCGGGAGCCCCCAAATCCCGGGAATTCGCCCCAAATGTTCCACAGAATCGAATTTCTGCAGATCCGAGGCGATGGTCCTGAGGCTCAGAACCGACAGAGAATCCCCAGATCCCGAAATTTCGGGAATTTCCCCCGAAATCCCGGGAATTTCCTCCGTTTCGCCGCAATTTTCGCCGCAATTTTCGCCGTTTTTSGCGGAATTTTCGSYGTTTTTTSCMRAATTTTCGCCGTTTTTTCCCGAWTTTTCRCCGTTTTTCCCCGGAATTTTGGGGATTTCGGGGTTTTCCGAGCCCCCCTCGGCTCCCAAAGGGTTTTCCCGGTGCCTTTTCTGGAAAATTCTCTGGAAGCGGCGGGCGTGGATTTCTTCGCTGATTTGTTCCAAATTGCGGAGGGCGACGGAGTAGCGGAGCTTGGCCTGGGAGACGGCGGCTTCCAGGGAGGTCACGCGGGATTTGTGCTCCT